TTTAGACAGCCATTCCCAGAGGCTCCACAGGAAAGAGGGGTTACAGGGTCACATTTTCCTACCCTGAGTCAGCCACTCACTAACTGGCATGGGGGGGGGGACTTATAAGCACCCAAAACTAGGACTGATAAGATCTTAAGTTTGTATAGCATTCCGCAAGTTCTGAAGGATCTCTCATTTATTCCCCATGTCACACGCTGAGGTCATTTCCCAGTTTGACATCCGGGGAAGCAGACCTGGAGATCTAACTCGCTTGCCTCAGTGGTGCAACCAGAGCTTAAATCCAGGTGCTCTGACTCTGGAGTTGCCAGACTTATCAAATAAAAATAAGGACACCGAGTTAAATTTGAATTTCAGACAGGCAAAGCAGTAATATTTTTGGCCTCAGTTTATTTCATGCAATGTTAGGGATTCATTATTTGTGGTCTGTATGAAACTCAGTTTGAGTGGGCACCTTGTATTTTATCTTGCAAACTTGACTTCAAAATCGGGTTCTCGGTCCCTGTTATTCTGTGGTATTCTGCTCTAATTAAAATAGAGTATTTGCTCTGATTTGCCCTTTGGTAGTTTGAGGTTTAGAGACTTTTGTTTGTTTGTTTCCCCTTTAACAAAGATGCTTGTTAATTCATTTTTCCCTCTCCTCTTGATTCCACCAGAAAAACTTGCCCAGGCCAAAGAAGAGAACGTGGGCCTACATCAGACACTGGATCAGACACTAAATGAACTTAACTGTATATAACCAGAACCGGAAGAGTCTTGTTCCAACAGAAAACCTAGAGCTCCATGTCTTTCTCTTCTTTTGTAAGAAGTTTTCTTTTGTTATTGCATCTTCGCTTTGCTGGGATTTCAAGCAAATTATGATTATGTGACCAAATATTTTGTATCAAAGAAGCTTTGGGCACCAGTTAAATCTAATTCCTCCCTTTTTTTTTTTTTTTTTTTAATTTCCAAATGGCACCAGCTTTCTGAGCTCTACTTTTATCCTTAAGTTGCATTTATTCCTAAGGTAGGCAGGGCGTTTCATACGAGCACACTCCCTTCAGATGGAGGGCTTTGGTTCCTGGGAATATAGTCAACCCCACACTTTCAAGAATAGGCTCCGATGTCTAGTCATGGGTTGATTAAGATGCTAAAGGGTGTAACGGTTCTGGGTCACTGTTGGCCAAGTTACAGGAGGCTAGGGACCATCACAATAAAATGGGTAGGGATTTCCCATCCAGAGCAAAAAAAAAAAAAAAGAAGAGCCAGCGTGGGAAACCATGAACCATAGATAAACCTAGTCATCCCTCGCTTCTCCACACTCCACTGTGCAGAATACATATCCTTGGAGCAGTCAGCTTGACAGTGCTTGGGAAATAGTCACAATATTTACCCAGGGATTGCCTGGAAAATCCTTGATGCTATGTTCTACATTTTTCTTTCATTCTAAAGTTGTCCTCTGATGAGCAAGTGTCTTACTTATTCTAATAATGACCCAAGCTTGTCGGCTCTTGGGGCCATACCTGAGCAGGAATACTGTGCAGTACAGTCCTGTTAGGGTCAGCCATATCAAAAAGACTGCTAGCCATCCATAAATTACACAGAAGAGTTTTTTTTTTTTTTTCCTGTCAACAAACATGTTGGGCAGAAGGGGTCTCTCTGGCAGCAAAGTAGATATAGAAAAGTAATTGGCCTGACGTCATCTCCATCCATCAGGGAATGGCAAATTATCCAAGATTTGAATTCCTTCTTTGGGACCAAGTTAATAAAAGACCAAGAAACTCCTGATGAAACTGGATATGGAGAACTTTGAGGCAGGGGCTGCACATTTTGGCTTTGTTGTATTTTTGCTTTCTCGGTCAACATCTCAGAGCTGAAACATTCCACATTTCCCCAACGGTGTGGGGACCAACTTGAGTTTACAATTCTGACCAAATTCACCCTGCTTCCAGCTTATCCAAATCCCCTGCCCCTCACTCCTATTTATTAAGCATCACACTACCCAGGAGATACACTAGCAAATTGTGCAGCTGAATAAAATCCACACTTTTCTTTAGATTCTTGCGACTGTATCATATGTAATAGTATCACTTTTTCTACATTTTGGTCAAATAAATTTTTACATAAATGACAATTTGTGTGAATTTCAAAATGGGTGGGGACAATACAGCATTTGGGTTTAACAAATGTAAATTGGGTAGAAAGAGAGGGTAATTGTGCCAAGAACTTTTGCGTTGTACCATGACTTCACGATAGATTGTGATCTCCTTATTGCAGAGTGTGTGCTTAGCCTCAGTTACTCAGAAGCTCCTGTCCTGTGATCCTCAGTCCTGCCTAGGCCAGGTTGTGAAGAATAAGTAGGATTTTGATAGATGTGAGAACATGGGAGGTGGTTTCTACCGCCTGAGTCGGACAAGTACAAGATCTGCCTGAGTAAGGTTTCTGTAGGCTTCACAATTAAAGGGAAGCACGTGTGCAGTTGGAAGGTAGGCTGGGTCCACACGGATGAGAACCTGAACTTAGCATGGTTAGGAGTGGAGAAGCACTGAAGACTGAAGTAAGCAGATCAGAGCAGAACGAGGGAATTCCACTCTGCATGCATTATCAGGAAGGACTTGGGGGAGCAGACAGGAGGGAAAACAAGTTGGGAAAATCAACAATCCACAGTAGTGCCTTCCATGAAATAAGAGGGAAGAAGTAATCTGAAGAAAGTAATTTAAACTTTAGCCAAGTGGGTGGCAGGGAATTTAGAAAGGAGAGTGTCAAGTCACTACTGTTTCACTACCTGAATTGCTCTCTTAGTTTACTCAAGATCTTGGCTTGGGGAGGGGAGGTAAGGAATCAAAGAGAAATGAAAGCCTTTAAAATGTAAATGTAATGTAGATGGCAGGTGTGGGGGAGGTTGAATACAGAATACTTCTCTAAGCCCCCACTCACCAATACTATATGGAAGTTCCTCCTTTAAGTACCTCTTTTCTCCCTCCCCACCCTGTTGGGTTGTAATCTAACCTCAGGATCCTGTTTTAATCATCTTTGCACTTCAGCATTTAAGGGTCCAGTGTTCCTTAACTGACGTGGCCCAGCTCTTGGGGAGTTCCCAGTGCCATCAAGTGTGGGTGGAATACAAGGCGAGTTGAGGACTGTGAAGGGCGGCATACACTAGGGTGAAGTTTTTTTTTTTTTTTACCCAGCTGAGAGACAACAGATGGATATTAGATTAAGTGTTTTAAAATGAGCACACTGCAGGGTGTATCTAGGTTAGAGGAGTGGCCAGTGAGGCCAGTGGAGAAATGTGATGACCTGTGACAGTGGAAATGGGAGAGCAAGATTCAAATGCTGTTCTGAACCTTCCTAAGAACCTTGATGTGAGAGATCAAAGAAAGATGTCAAAGATGACAGGTCTCACTCAGGCCAAGCTAGTCTGGATAGATGAGTTCAGTGGTGGACATAACTGCATTTGAAGTACCTTTAACAAATCCAAAGGCAGATGACCAGAAAGCAGTTAAATATGGAGGGATGGCTTTAAACATGGGCTGGCTGGCTATGGATCACCTACAAAGCTGTTGGCGTGGAGATATTAAAAGCCACGGGAGCAAACGAGATCACCCAGAAGGTGAGTAAAAACAGATCCATGAAGAACAACACCTAGAGAATAAACAGAAATTCCCCCCCCACCACCACCAAAAGGCTGCAGTGGGCTTGATGAACAGTGTCCAGAGAAGGGGGACTGGCAGAAGCGGGCAAAATTGGGAGAGCACCAAGAGAAAACATCCAGAGAACAAGAGTAACACCACGAAGACGGAGGCCCAGAAAGTGGTCAATGGCTCTGGTTGGAACTTTTCCCCCAACCTGGGTAGATGAGCTGAAGGGGCAGGAGGACAGGCTATGGCCAGCTGTCAGCATATCCTTAGGTGAGTCCCAGAGTGATCCACCAGAGACTGGGACACGTGTGACAAGCAGGAATCCCTGGGGCCCAAACTGGCCTGTGAAGCCTGTCGGATCTGAGTTCAAATCCAATTTCCCACTTCGGAGCCTGGGAAAGTCCCGTAACCTCCTTTGACCTCAGTTTCTGCTCACCATAAAACTAGAAAGTCATACCTACCAGGCTGGGCTGGTGTGGGGATTCGGTATTTTTTTGCTTTTACAAGTGTGCGGAGCACCTTCAGGCGCAGAACCAACGCTCCTAAATGCTACCTAGAATCGTCACTGTCCTGACTGCCCAGCAGGTGCGAGACGGCCAGGCGTGCCTGCGGGCTGGACCGGCGCGGGCCAGACGAGGCTGGGGGGAGGCCCTGGGGGCCGGTGGGCCGGGTCGGCCTAATTAGGTCGGAGGGCGGATCCTGCGGAGTCCCAGCGCGCCCCAGGGCGCAGCCCGCGGAGGTCTTCTAGGTAGGCCCACGGGACAGCACCACGATCGGGGGCACGGCTCAAGGGGCTGCTTTACGAGTACAACCTGCGCCCTCCCGGGGCTGGCACAGAAACCTGCAGTTGACCGTGCCAGCACCATCACCCATCCTTCCCGCGCTAGCCTCGACACCTACTGCGGCTGCGCGCCTTGGGTCGGGCCTTAGCGCTCCCTCCACGCGCTTGCGCCCTCTGCTGGAGACCAACGGTCTTCCCAGTGCGCGTGCGCACATGCGCCAGGCCCCGCCCCCAAGCTGCCGGCGCGCGGAGCCGTTGGAGGCGCGCCCCGCTCTCCCCCTCCCTTCGGGAGGCGGGGCGGAGCCGCTCAGATTGGGGAGAATAAGGCGGGGACTCGGAATGCCAGGCCCCCTCTCTGGTCCCATTTGAAGCCCCTGACTCTTCACCGTGGGCCAATCGCAGCCAGCCCTGTTCCAAGAGCGGGCCAATGGGCGGCGCACTCGGGCTGCTTCCGGCTCCGGACCCATTTCGCCCCTTCCCCGGGTCCCCCCGCGAAGGGCGGGGCTCTGGGGCGGGCGTCGGCCGCGGTGACGCGCGGCGGGACGGGAGCCAATGGGGGGCGGGTTCGGCACTGATGGACGTGGCCAGCGGCCAGTGGCGAGGCGCTGTCCGCACTTCCCGTCCGGGAGAGAGTGTAATATGGCGAAGACCTACGATTACCTGTTCAAGCTGCTGCTGATCGGGGACTCGGGGGTGGGGAAGACCTGTGTCCTGTTCCGCTTCTCCGAGGACGCCTTCAACTCCACTTTCATCTCCACCATAGGTAGCGGGGCCGGGGGGCGGTCGGGGGCACTGGAGGCCTGGGCCTGGCGCGCCCCGGAGCTGCTGGGGCAGAGGGGTCGACCTGACTGGACGGGTCCAGGGCTCCGAGAGGGTCGAGGGGGTCTGATGGGAGAAGAGCAGCCCTCTCCACCTCCATTCTGGGTTTCCCGAGTCCTGGCGGTGGGACTCATGCCCATTGTGCAGAAGGGGACACAGATTCTCTGATCCCCAGCCTGTTAGGAAGTTTATGTCCTGAACTGGGGTCATCACGCCTGTCATCTCTGTCCTCGAAGCAGCCCTCAAAACGGTTCTTTAGGGGTCCTTCTTACAGAGGTGGAAACTGAGACATGGGGAGTTGGCATGGAAAAGGGATAGTGACACCCGACCTTATTGAGCATTTTCTTTCTGTGCATTATCACACTCTTGTGTATCCTGTGTTAGGTACTGTGTATAAGCTCATCTTACAAATGAGAATTTGGAGGCTCAGGGAGGGCTTGGGACTCACCGAAGGTTATTGTAGCAAGAATAAGATTCGAACTTGGGTGGATCAGACCCTGAAACTTGAGGCTTAGCCACCCCAGAATGATGCCACCATGCACCCCCTAGAACAGGCATAGCTTATCCACCTTGGAGCTACGACTCCAATCCATAAAGAGCAGGGGAGCCCACTCTTTACTCTGGAATATTCAGGAGTTGAGCCATTTCTCCTCTCAACTCCCAAGAGTGACTTTCTTCTAGAGGGAATGGTGACAGCAATGGCAAGTGACAGTTGCCTGCCCCGGGACCCGTCATCCCCAAGGAGATGCAAGATAAAGCCTCGGTGAGAAACTGAAATCAGCCACTGCCACAGAAAACCTTGACTTCCCTATCACAGGGCCCAGGATTCACTTTGCAGTACAGCTTTTCCTGCAGGGCCAGCCCGCATTGTGGTTGAACAGAATTGGCTTGTCGCATCTCAGTTCTGTTATCCACAGAGGTGGAGCTGACTTTTCTCCTTGCCACAAAAACTGTCATTGCCCACAGGGAAAAGGTTTGACCATTCTGGATCAGAGTGGCCTGGGAGCTACCTAGTCCTGCTCAGGAGGGGAGATGGTCACCAAGCCCAGAAATTTTGTCCCAAACTAGAAACCTAGGGGATGAGCTTTGCTTTACCCCTGTGTAACGTCAACCACGTCATTTTATCTCCCTGAATCCCACCGTGATGTGCTAACTCCATCCTTGCCCAGCTCCAGGACCTGCACTTTGTAAAACAATTACATGCAGAAGGGATTGGATTGGAAATCATGCCCGATTTCCAGATGCCATCTGCCTTGGCCAGTGCCCTGGGTGGCTGAGGCTCAGAAGTACACCATGAATAAAGGCTTATTACCATTGCCAGAGGCCGTCCAGGGCAAGCAGAGCGGCTCCTACAGCATCACCCTGAGGCACAGGTGTTTCTGAACTCTCTCCCCCTCTCTCGTTCAAGGTCAAACTTTGGTAGCCCTTGAGTCCCAAACAGCCAGGAAGTGGTGTTGACTCCTGTCAAGACAGTGGCTCACTCTCATCCCATAGCTCAGGTGCTCAGCCTCAGGTACTTCCTGCTCAGTGCAAGCACTGTTGAGATCAACTCGGGTCGTTTTGCTGGGTTTTTAATTCTTAACCAGGACCCTCTCTAGCACTTCTGAGCTCCAAGAAGGCTGGCCTTCTCATTTGCAGATGAAGATGTGACTTGGTCAAGGTCACTTAGGGAAGTGGAGGTAGCACTTGAACCCACATTCCCTCCTTCCTCTAGTGCTCTTTTTTTTTTTTTTTTTGAGAGAGAGAGAGAAAGAGAGAATTTTTTAATATTTATTTTTTAGTATTTGGCGGACACAACATCTTTGTTTGTATGTGGTGCTGAGGATCGAACCCGGGCCGCACGCATGCCAGGCGAGCGCGCTACCGCTTGAGCCACATCCCCAGCCCCACCTCTAGTGTTCTTCACACTACATTTGTAGCTTTTCTGTGGGCCTCCTGTCTTCTAGGAAAGTTTAATTTGCCATGACCTTGAAGTTATGGACTCATAATTCTTAGGCCTCGTAAAGTTCATACTTCCTAATTAAATTTGGAGTGTTAATAAAACCCAGGAGGAGCATAGACAAAGTGATGGGCTTGGCCGGTGAACAGTGCTTCTTGATTTTGTATATCTCTGAGCATCTCTGACAAGAGGTGGGGAGTGTTTTTGGATCTGAGGACCCGGGACTGCTTGCCCTGAATACGCTGAATCCACGGAGGCAGCTGTCTGTTGGCACTGGGTTTAGCTCTGGGTTTTCTTTATAGATCAGGGATTGAGGAGCTATTCATTTCTGCCCTTCTTATGATTTGGCCAGAGCCCATTCTCCTCAGCTCCATTGATGACTTGTGGTATGCACTTGGCCCTGTGGCTCTCTGGAATTGGTTCTCACCAGCGCAGCTCCTCAGGGGCCCATTCGTTGCTTCATCAAGAAGGATGACATTCAGAAAGCGCTTCCTAAGCCATACAGCACCACGCTGACCCGGCTGCTTCTAATTTGTCATTCGGCCACCTTTAAGCAGTGCCTGATGCCAGCCTTGGTGCTGGGGCCCCTGAAAGGACTCAGGCGAATCCAAGGGAAGCATAGATGTAGTGAGGCCTGAAGCCGAAGTGTCTGGGGACTGAGGTCTGGCACATCTGCATGCCAGCCCGGCCATGTTCAGTCACTGGAGGTAACAGCAGGAAGACGCATCAACCTTGCCCTCAGCGGGCTTATGTTCTAGTGGGTGAAATGCAGGTGCAGACTTGTATTCCCATTGTTCCCCAGGACAACTCGGAGGCTGGCAGGGACCAAGTTAATGTCCCCAGCATGGGTTCTGAGAGGTCAGGCCAGACCGAGGCCTCCCGTCTTCTCCAGCAGAGTTTAGAACAGCCTGGGGGACAAAGGTTGGGTCTGGCTCTTCTCTCCACAGAGACCATTCATGGGGCAGGTTTGCCCAGGGTTCCCCTGAGCAGTTTGACTTTCAGTGTGCGCAGGGTCTGACGCACGGATTCAACCGTGAATTGGGCTTTCTTTAAGTTACATCAGTACTGAACATGTACAAAACTTTTCTTGTCATTCTTCCTTAACAAGACAGTGTAACAACTGTTTACAAAACATCTGCACTGTATCCGGTGTTAGGAGTCACCTAGGGACGCTGAGGATGTGGAGGGATCCAGTGAAACACCCACCGCATCTTAAAGAAGGGGCGGAGCATCCTCAGATTTTGGTATCTTCAGGGGGTTGTGCAACCAGTCCTGGTCGGATACCGAAGGACGACCGGATCCAATGTTGGTAAAAGTCGGTGAAGAGGAGAGGACAGGCCAGGGGAGAGGAGGTGACGATGGGCTGGAAGGCTCCCCTGAGGCCACTTGAACATGGACCTGAGCAAATGGGACCCAGAGGCTGTGGAGGGAGACGGCGTTCCAGAGAGGGAAGAGCGATGGGAAAGCCAGGGACAGGCGCGTGCTGGGGGGGTTCGGAAAGAGCCACCGGGTCAGTGTGGCCAGAAAGAGGGTCTTGACCAGTGGGTGCCACGAGGTGACGCGGTCAGGCAGGCCCTTGAGACGCTGGGACAGCTTTTTCAGTTTGACTGGGAGGCGCAGGACAGCCTCCGGAAGGTGTGCATGTGGCTTGGTGATTTGCGTTGGTTGTTCTTGTTGTGGTGCGGGGCATCAAACCCAGGGCCTCGAGTGTGCTGGGTAAGGACCCTTGCTTACTTGGGTAAGCCTCCAAGCTGCATCTCCAGGCCTCCCTTGATACTCTTTAAACAACTCTTTTGAGGTGGAACTCATATGCTACATCTGCCCATTGGGATGTGTGATCTGGTGTCTTTTAGTACGTTCACAATGGGGCATCCATTCAGCAATCAGTTTTAGAACATTTTCATTGCTCCATAAAGAAGCCCCTGGACTCCTAAGCCAGCCCTCTTAATCTTCCCATTCTCCTCCACTGGCAATCGTGAGTATACTCCTTGTCTGTATGGATTGGCCTCTTCTGGACATTTCACATTGATGGAATCGTAGTCTGTGTCCTTTCGCACTTGGCTTCTGTCACTCAGCATTGTGTTTCTGAGTTTTGTCCACATGGTAGCCTGTGGCAGTGCTTTGTTCCTTTTCAAGGTTGAATAATATTCCACATCTCGTTTATGGCCACACTAGATAGTCTGGAGCAGAGATTAGCTTTTGACATAGTTGTATTTTTGAAGGCTGGAAAGGGCCCAAGGGGGAGCCCTGGCAGCCTGGAGAGCTTGGGGTTAGCCTGGGCAAAGGGAATTAAAAGTAGCAGGTGGGAAGGGAGGAGAGTAGGGTCAGGAAGGCTTCCTGGTGACCTTTGAGCAGGTCTTGGGTACGCAGGCAGGGCATAGGCCACCTGCAGAGAAAGGTCAGCAGCAGGAGCTCTGGTGTGCCCGGCGGTGGGGAGGGCCCTTGGAGGCCAGCTGTGGGATGCTGCCCTGGGCAGGGGCGTGTTCAGCGGGCATTGAGGGCGTGAGAGCCAGCGAGAGCAGTTGAGACCTGGGCCTGAGGGTCTGCCCTCAGCCCTGCCCTGGCTCCTCCCTGGGAGCTCCCAGCAGCCCCCAAAGCCCCAGGTTCCTTGTGGAGACGGAAAAGCATTTCCAGATGCTTCCAGACTAGATGTGGATTCTGAGATCCCCAGGCCCAGCGCCAGGCAGGCGCGCCACATGCTGTCACGACTGTGACCTGCTCGGTGGCTGCGCCTGTCTCTCACGCAGCTAGGAAGGGGCTGGCAATGACTTGCCTTTGCATTTTTTCTTTCAGGAATTGACTTTAAAATCAGGACCATAGAGCTCGATGGCAAGAGGATCAAACTGCAGATATGGTGAGAGTCGTCGCTGGTCGGGCCCTCCACTCAGCCACGCTCAGGCCAGAGCCCTGGGTACCCACCCGGTGCCGCCCCCGTGACCCCTGCCCTCTCCATCCAGCCCTGACTACGCTCTTCAGAGCCCCTGGAGCTCACACCCGCCCAGGGAGCTGGGTTCTGCTGGCTGCTCGGCCTCGTGTCTGCGCCGTGGGGCAGAACTCCCTGTCCGGTAGCTTAGCATCCAGTACTCCAGCACCGGCCAGCCCGGCCCAGGGCCAGGCAGCTCGCCCTTGGGCTGGGAGAGTCTCTGGGCCTGGCGGGTGAGGTGGTGAGGCCGGCACGAGGGCAGCGCGTCGCCTGGCCGGGAGTTTCCTTTTGAGCCGGCAGCTCGCTGGGGGTCAAGATCTGATGTCACTTCCTCTTTTCGCTCCCGGGCCTCCCTTCTGGCGTGCAGACCGAAACCCCCAAACTGGAATTAAGCCTTCAGAGGAGGCCAGGCCCAATGGTGGGACCTGTCCCCAGACCCGAGGGCGACTTCCCTTGCCACGGTAAATTGGGGAAGTTGCGAGCTGCCAAGTCCCCACCATGGCACTGACTCTGTGCAGCTGGGCGGCGGGTGCAGGTGGTCGGCTGGAGGGCAGCCCCGCACCCCCACCACGCGCAGGGAGGAGTCACGCTGCCGCGTGGGTCACCCCACGCCAGTCAGGCACCTTTGGGTGGCAGCGGGTCGTCCTGGTGGGGTCCTGAGATGGGCCTGACACTGCCCCCGGACTCTGTCTTGAGTGAGCTCAGAGCCCCGAGGGTGCCCTCCACTCCAGCGATGCGCGCCCCTTAATCTGATTTCAGACCCCAGAACTGGATGAGGTCATTCCTTGTCAACCCGCAGAGCTGGGTAGCCATTCAGTCTCTGGCCACCTTGTCAGTTACAAGCCATAAAAAAAAAGGTCCTCTGCCTCCAACACGGTGGCCCCACTGCAGCCTTGTGCCCAAGTCTGAGGGACACTGTAGCAGCAAGCAGAAGTCACGCTTTCCCTTCCTCCTCTCCTCCTGCTTCTGCTCTTAGCAACCTTGATGGAGGAGTGACTTAGAACGCTTCTGAGAGGGCCAGGGTAAAGTGACTGCCCTAACCAGCCCACCGTACCCCTCGCACTTAAAAAAAAAGCTCTGGTAGCTTTGGGGCCAGGGTGCAGCTCGGAGGTCTGGGTGTGGCCCTGGTTCCACCCCAGCACCCCAGAAACACCACAAAAGGTAGAGAGTGAACCTGGCATGGAGTGAGCAGTTTCTACAGGCCAGACACGTGGGGCCTCTGCAGGAGGAACGGGGCAGGGACAGAAGGCGTCCCAGGCTGCTGCTCACTATCCGGGCCCTGCCACCCATCAGTTAGTTAGGCGACCTTTAAACCAAACACCATCCTCCTGACCACGAGCAGGGCTGGGCGCGGCTGCCTCTGGCCCAGGCGTCCCCTCCCTGGACCATCGGAACACTCCCCGTCACAGAGAAGTGAGGGGGGCTCCCCGCCCCCCAAACCAAGTGGACGAGCTCAGCTGTGCTCCCCAACGGCCAGGGCTGTGGCTGTGGCCCCGGCACCACCAGCCTCCTCCTTGAGTGGCCCTGGGTGTCAGTCACTAGTGTAGTCTGGCTCTTCTGTGATGTAGATACCCCAGGCAGAGTTCACTGGAAGCAGCTGCACAGAAGAGAGGGGACAGGGGCCAGTGAAGCGATCCTGGCCCTGCCACACCCCCAGCTGGAAGACGCCCGAGGTCTTCAACTTCTCAAGCCAGAGTTCCCTTTTCTGTGGTCCCGGGGAGAGCAGAGGCCCCGGGGAGAGCCGTGTCCTCAGTAAATGCTTGCTGCTCTCTGTTGGGGACAGTCTTGCCCGTGTTATCGCTAATGTGCCTGATCCTCCTCATGTCAGGGACACAGCCGGCCAGGAACGGTTCCGGACGATCACGACGGCCTACTACCGGGGAGCCATGGTATGGAGTTTTCGTTTTGTCTTTTTTGAAGTCAAGTGGGCATCCGTGCGCCACCCACGCCAAAGCCTGGTGGCTCTGTGCAGCCTGTGTCTGATTCCTTGGGCAGAGGGTGGGTCTTGTGTTAGTTTCAGGAAGAGACAGTGCGCCCCTCCCCTCCCGTGTGCACGCACGCCCCCGGCTTCAGAGACAATGCAGGGTTTACACAAAGTGAAGAGTCATTCAAGGAAGACCTCGAAGCCCTGGAAGCCGGTTCTTCCAGGTGAGGTCACTGAAATTAAGAGCCGGCGTGCCCCAACACCTAGAGGGGTCACATGGCCCACATCAGCCCCTGTGGAATTTGCTACCCACACTTGAAGACCTTCCAGGCGCTGACTTGTTTGGGGCTAATAACTGGTGCTGCAGGCTAAGCTGCAGGAAGGCTGTTCACCTTCCCTCATTCACCAGCGCCTGCTCGGGGCCTGCTCAGAGCTACAGGGGAGGGGAAGAGCCGGTGCTGCCTGCCAGGTCCTGCTCACGGGAGGAGTGGACAAGGCAGGGGATCCAGGGCCCAGTGGGAGTAGGAAGCGGACCCCCTGGTCCTGCCTAGGATCGGGGCCACCCTCTGAGCTGTTCCCTACTTGGAAAATGGAACAGGGAGCAGGAGTGTGCCTCCGGCTGCTGTGAGGATGAGTGACCGACCTTTCATTCCCAGCACCCCCTCCATGTGCACCCCAACATTTGGGTGCATAGGTTCCTGATTCCCCCACTAGATCCGAAGCTCGGTGAGGGCAGTGCCCCGCCTCAGACACCGCGCATGCTCAGAGCCTGGGAACCGTGGGTCTGCAGGACGGGCGCAGGGAGGCGTGCGTGCGTGCTAGGGATGAAGGAAGGCGTTGAGTATTTAGAGCGTTCCACTCAGAGTCGAAACAACGGAAACTCAGTCGGAGGCTCGCAACCTTAGTGTTGTTCATCAAAATTAATCGCTTATTTTCCCCTCGCCTTGCGGTGCTCTGGTGGAGGGTGGTGGAGCGGGGCCCCTGGCCACTGGGGTCCCAGACCTTCTGCCCCCTGGAGAGGGCTGTGCGGCCTCAGGTAGGTTCTTTTCGTCTCTGGGCTAAAATAGCCAGTCCGCGTGGTCCCCTGAGCCCTCCCGTGCTTCAGACAGTAGCGCCATGTTGGCTCGAGTGACCTCCCTGCAGCCTGGCCAGGATCCTCCGCGTGCAGGTGCCATCCATCGCTATCCCTGCTTGATAACCAGGAGCCGCCGCTGGTCCCACAGGGGGCGGGCCGGGGCCCATGTGCTCGGCCAGCAGGAGGCGCTGGTGGCTCTCAGCCCTCCGCCCTGGCCATTCCCGCCCACAGCAGGCGCTAGCCACCCTCAATCAGTGGAAGTTGAAACCCAGCCCCTCCAAACCAGCACATTTCAGGTGCCCTGAGCCGAGTATGGCCAGTGACAGCAGAGAAAGTCACCACCCCTGCAGCGGCACTGCCTGTGCTTCAGCGTGGCCCTAGAAACCCCAGGTTTGGCAAGCCCTGGGTGTCTGGTGTCCCATCGGAAGCCTCCAGACAGAGGGTGTTCCCTGTGTGGGAGCCAGAAACACCCACTGAAGGGAGTTTCCAAGAAAACCTGGGACAGGTGACAGCCCAGTGTTTTGTCCCCAGATGATCCCCTTCCTCCCCACACGAGAGGTAAGTATCCAGGAACTTAGAGTCTTGGACGGTGGCGCCAATTCATTGGTGGCAGCAGGAGTCCTGGGCCTCCTAGGAGACGGTCCTTGGATAATGGCAAAGAGGGCTTTGTGCTTCCCTGAGGCAGAGCATGTGCAGGGCTTCTGCCCTGGCTGGGGGCTGGGGCGTGACCAGCATCACGGCCTCCCTCACCTCCCAGCCTGCCCGTAGCAGTCTCTGTTAAGTGTCCCCTAGAGACTCCTGAATGAGGGTCCCGGGTGGCACCTTTGAGGAGCCTCAGCCCTCACTGCGTCTTGGGGTCGGCAGTGACGGGGCAGAGGCTCTGTCTGGCACAGCTGCTGCCTGTGGCTGTCCAGCTCATTCTTTCTCTGCAAACTTGGGTGGCCTCAGAAATGTCCTGGCCAGCACCAGAGGTCAGTGCCCCCTGAGGTGCCCCAGACACAGGACTCATCCCGGGGAGCAAGTGGCTTGGAGTAAGGGAGTGAGTCAGGCCGGGGCCTGAGCTGGCCATTTGCCCCAGAGCCCGGTGCTCAGCCCCAAAAGGGGACTGTGCTGGCCTTGCAGGCTGGCCCCCCACAGGTGACACCCAGGGCAGCACGAGGTCTGGTGAAGGGCCCCGTGCTTTATTTTGGTGCTGAGAAGGGGGTCTAACAGGAGCAGGGTCATCACCTCTGTCAGAGCTGGCCCCCCCTGGGATGGAAGCCTAGAGGTGCCCCTCCCGGAGCCTCGGTCCCCTGTAGCAGACAGCAGTGGAGGGGCCGCTCCGCACTCAGGACCCGGGGCCTGGCTCCCAGCTGCCTCTGCGCATTGGCTAGGGAACAGAAGGGCCGCGGTGCGCTCAGCCCAGTGCTTGACGCTGGCCTCTGCTCTGAGGGTTCCCAGAGGGCACCTGGGCATCAGCGCCAGGCTTCCCTGGGGGACCCCAGTTCTGCATTCATTTCCTCCGATGAAACTAGACGGGCTTAGAGCACAGTCCACCTCAGATTTCCTGCTGCAGAGGGGACGCTGCCAGGGCACAGGGGGCTGTAGCAAGACCCACTGCCATGCCACTGCCATTGGCCCCAGACAGGCCCCAGCTGAGCCTTGGAGGCGATCTAGGAGGGTGAGTGGGGTGGGGAGGAGGCCAGCAGCAGCGGAGGGTCGGCCTGAGCGGGCTGCAGGACCCTTGGAGCAGGGCTCGAAGGGTGAAGGCCGAGGGCGCTCGGCTGTTGGGCACGTGGCCCAAGCCTGGCCTGCTGACTGGAGCCAGCAAGACTTGTGAGCAAGGTGTGGCAGGGTTTGGCCTGGGGGCAGAAAGGTCACCTTGGTGGCCAAGGCTGGCCTGGGAGAACAGGGCAGCCGCTGCTAGAGTCCCTTGGAAAGAAGGAGCCCAGGGATGGAGGGAGGGGCTGGTTCCTGCCCCTGAGCCTGAGCTCTCTGTGCTGGCAGGGAGCATGTCACATTGTCACCACCACAAAGGCACACGTGGCCCCCACCCTGCTGGGGCTCTCTGTGTAGAGGGCCTGCAGCTTGTTGAGAGCCTCTGTCCCTGTCCCCCCTGCTCAGGGTATCATGCTGGTCTACGACATCACCAACGAGAAGTCCTTCGACAACATCCGGAACTGGATTCGGAACATTGAGGAGGTGAGCACAAGGCCCAGAGAGAGCTAGAAGTACAGAGCCCCGAAGGTGGGGACAGAGTGGGGGACAGAGTGGGAGCCAGGCTGACCCCGCGGTGGACCCCAGAGACCACACACCAGCCTGAGAGCTCGGGCTGGGCAGTCGGGCGTGACCAGTCTCAGTCACGAGTCAAGCTGTCTGGGCTCTGGGTCACCATCAGCATTTGGTGCTTTCCATAGAGAAGGCTCCAGAACCAGTGTGACCCTTGTGTTGGAGGGTGTGGTAAGATGGCACGTCACGTTGCACTTTGAGCTACGGTAGAGCAGGGCGTGAACGGGTGCAGGCCACCTGTGTTCAGGCAGCAGCTGGCTGTGAAAGGGGACCCTGAACCATGGAGGGACAGGGCGGAGGAGGGCAGCCCCACCTCGACTCTTCCTGTCCCCAGAACATTGACCTGCCCCAGAGCTCCCTGGGGGCGGTGCCCTGAGGACTGACCCGCCGGGGCTTTGGGCCTGAGACCCCAGCAGAGAGCTCCACCTGTCCAGAGGCCACAGCACAAGCAGGGTTACTGCCCTCCCGGGGTCCCGGAGCCCTGGGCCAGCCAGGAGCAGGCGCTTCATGAGCAGTCGCACCGCCTGGCTCAGCACCCGGGAGCTCGCCTGTGGAGCTGGCGCCCAGGCTGCGGGGCATCTTGGTGGGAGGGGAGGCGGCCACACTGATGTGGCTGCCCTCCGGGTCTGGCCGTGGGCAGCAGGGAGCAGCACAACGGTCACACTCAGAATGGAGCTGGTGAGGAGAGGGCGCCTCCTGGTGTCCCCAGAGAGAGCTAGAAGTGCAGAGCCCCGAAGGTGGGGACAGAGTGGGAGCCAGGCTGACCCTGCGGTGGACCCCATGAGGGCACCCTTCAGGGCCTAAGCAAGGGTTTGTGAAAGAGCGCCCAGGAGCGAGGCGTCCCTGGGGAAGGGCAGGTACCCAGGGCTGGGGACAGTGGGGAGCCTCAGTGACTCAGCATGGCCCATTTCCAGAGCCCAGAGAAGGAGAGAGCAGGGTCAGAGACAGCAGCCAGGGTGTCCCGTGGAGGAGGAAAAGGTGGGCACGCCTCTTCCCCCGCCTCCCGCCAGACCCCGGGTCTGTTGACGCCGCCCAAAGAGAAGTTGTCCTCAGCAACCAGGAGGGTCTTAGTGTGCGCCTGAGTGGCAGCTGCAGCCCTGCGATCAGTCAGAAGCTGCCACCCTGGCACTGGCTGGGTGACGTGAGGCCTGCTGCTCAGCCTCTCTGAGCCTCAGCTTGTCGTCTGCACCAGAATGTGCCCGTGGACCTGACCTCAGCACTCTGATTTTGAGGAATGGGCCGCATGCAGGCCAAGGCACCTGCCCACAATCCAGTCTGACCCCTGTCCCCTCCCTGCAGCACGCCTCTGCAGACGTGGAGAAGATGATACTTGGGAACAAGTGTGATGTGAACGACAAGAGACAGGTGTCCAGGGAACGGGGAGAGAAGGTGGGTGTGATGGCCCACCTGGGCGCCGAGGGGCAGAGGGTCCTCTCGCCCCTGAGGCTGACCAACGTAGAGTCGGTCACTGGTTTTTGACGGTGCTGGGTGAAGCCCAGGCCTTGTGCATGCCGGGCAGGGCTCTGCCACTGACCACACCCAGCTACGGCCCTCCCTCCCTCCGTGTGTGTGTGTGTGTGTGTGTGTGTGTGTGTGTGTGTGTGTGTGTGTGATGCTGGGACTGAGTCTAGGGCTGCTCTACCACTGAACTCGTGAGACGGTCTCGCGAGCTTTACCAGGCTAGCCTCCAACTTGGCTATCCTCCTGCCTCAGCCTCATGTGCCACCATGCCTGGCTGTCCCCTTCATGGTTTTTACGAGCACAAAGTGACCTGCCATCCCGGTTTGCTTGAGGGGCTCCAGTGGGAGTTGGTCGTCCAGCGGGGCACATGCCTCGGCCGGAGGGCAGGAAGAGCGCACCAGCCGGGCCTCCTGGTGACGGCCACACAGGGAGGCTCGGCCAGCGCCACAGGGGAACTCATCCCGACCTGTCAGCTGCCAAGGCCACAAAGAGTGCGGGGTAGGGCTGTGGCTTCACCCAGGCCCCTGTCCGCCCTCCTGGTCTCGGCTGCATCCATAGCACCACTGAGGGGTGCTGCGGCCTGCTCCCCTCTAGAGCTCAGGGGTCCCCCACTGCCTCCTCAGCCCACTGGCACACCCCGGGTCGGGCTGACGTGGGCACACTGTCTCCCTCACAGCTGGCCCTTGACTATGGAATCAAGTTCATGGAGACCAGCGCCAAGGCCAACATCAACGTGGAGAACGTGAGTCTGGGGCCCTGTTGGGACTGGCCCCTGCGGGCTGAGGCTGCAGAGTGCCAGCTGTCCTCGGGCTCTTCCTGGGGGCTCTCCCTGCATCGCTCCCCTCAGCGTGTGGGGCCAGCAGCCCGTGGAAGTCCCTGGCTGCCATGAGGGCAAAGGCCCCTGCCAGGTAGCAGCTCGTGTCCTCTCACTGGCTCTCGGGCACCTGGGGAGCAGGCCCAGAGTCCCACCGGCTGAAGGCAAGAGAGTAGGGAGCCCTGTTGGAGCCCACCCCTCACCCTCTCCACTCCCCACCCTAGGGACAGCTCCCAGAGGGACCTCCACCTCACACTGCCCCAGACTCCCTACAGTGACAAGGGCAAAGGCCAAGCCCCTCCCTCCCTGGCCCTGACCCACCACCTCCACCCGCAGCCACCTGGGCCGCGCTCTCAGCCTTTGGTGCTTCCTGTCCCTGAACCCCATCTCCCCCTTCCCAGGCCTCCTCGGGGTTCTGGCCCCCACGAGGAAGCTGCCCACCCCTCACCAAGCCCCCTCCACGCAGGCCCTCCCACGTCACGGGGCCTGTGCCCAGGTCTGGCCTCTCCCGCCAAAGCCCTCGAGGGCCGCACTAGTGCAGCCCCCCCCAGGGCCCCCCGAGGGCAGGGGGGTGGGGGGTGGGGGCTGTTTGTCAGAAGAGCAGATGGGGGTTGGGAGGACGTTCAGAGGTGACGGAGAAGGGCCAGCTGGGGCCTCAGGCAGAAGTCCTGTGTCTGTAGTAAAAGTAGATGTGACGTTGGACGGTCCCGGTGGGCAGGCAGAGCTGGGGGCAGAAGGGAAACCACACATGGGACGCTGTTTACTGGCCTGTCACACCCACTCCATGCAAGTGACCTGGGACTTGGAGACCTGTCATGTGAGGGGCACTGACAACTTGGTCTTTCCACAGGCATTTTTCACTCTCGCCAGAGACATCAAAGCAAAAATGGACAAAAAATTGGTGAGTATGTGCCTTTCTGGCTCCCTGCCCGGGCCTCACTGGATCTGACCACCCTCGGCACAGCGGCCCGTAGCCTTCCAGGCCAGGCCCTGCTTCTCAGGCCCCGCCCGAGCCAGCAGCCCCTCGCCAGGAGAGGAGGAGGGCCTGCACGGGCAGTGAGAACATCAGTGCCAGCTCTGCCCACCCAGCCCTGGGCAGCACGGGACACACTCCTCCATCCCTCCTGAGAAGGGGTCTTAGCCTGTTTTCTGTTGCTGTGACAAAATGCTTGAGACTAGATGACTTATAAAGAATAAGGGTTATAAAGATTAAGACTGAGAGCTCAGGGTTCTGGAGGCTGGGAAGCCCGAGAGTCTGGTGCTGGTTGCTGGCCCTTTTGGCTAATCAGGTGGCAGAGGGCACGACGTGGTGAGGCGGCAGGCGTGCCCGCTTGGAGCTTGCTGCCACCTCTTCTGAAGCCCAAGGGCAAAGGCCAGGGCAAAGGCCCTCCCGCTCCAACCCCTCGCCCGCCGCAGCCACGGGGCCCTCGGCCACCAGAACATGAGCCAACTCATGCCGTCCTGGAGGCCCCCCTCTGCCCGCATCTGGCTGAATCACCTCCCAAGGCCCCAGTTCCAAATACCACGAGCGATTGGGGGGTGAGTTCCCTGCACGTGAGTGCTGGGGGGCACACCCAGATGTGGCACAAGGGTCTCACAGATGACATCATGTGCATGGAAAGAGCGTCCCCCCAGGTCCTGGGGCGAGGCTGGGCAGGGGTCCACCAGCAGCACTCTGTGCTGTCCGGCAGGCGCTGGCTCGCCGTCTCGGCAGGCAACAGGGTGACAGCCTCTCGCTGCCCCAAGCTCTGCACATGTGACAGCTCTGTGACCTTCAGTGGGTGTCAGGTTCTCGGGGCCTCTGTGTGTCCCCTGCTTCTGTTCTCTGCGATTTCGCGGCCCACAGCACTCGGCGTGGGCAAGGCTGTCCCTCGGGACAGGGGCCTTGGTTCCAGCGCTGCCCCCTCTTGACTGAGTACGTGTGCTGTCTGAGCGGAGAGTGGGGCAGCCTCTGGGTGAAGCCTGGCCTCACAGGGTGCTCAGGAACAGGCCTCGCGCGGTGCCCTCTGGTCTGCAGCAGCCCCGCTGTCCCGGGAGCTGGGGTGACGGCGAGGCCTGGTCAGAGCAGCCTGGGGACAGCACGCTGCCCACAGCGGCAGGATTTCCTCGCCATTCCTCTTTTCTTCAGTGTAAAGGTCAAAGTTCACACCTTCCCAACCCCTCTCACCCCTTTTGCCCATGGAGCCTGGTGCTTCGAGCACCGGTCTGTTGGTACCTGGAGAGCCAGCCAGTGCCCGAGCGCAGGTGTGGTGCGGGCCTGGCCCTCGCTCTTCCTTTTTCTTCTTTTTTTGGTACCAGCCATTAAACTCCGGGACATCCACCGCTGAGCCCGTCCCAGCCCTTTCTGTATTTTATTTAGAGACAGGGTCTCCCTGAGTTGCTTAGGGTCCCTGAGTTGCTGAGGCTGGCTTTGATCTCGCCATCCTCCTGCCTCAGCCTCCCAAGCTGCTGGGATTGCAGGGAGCGCCACCCACCTGGCTTCTTTCTCTGAACTTGGATCAGGAACTGAGTCCCGCCCCTCCTGCTGGTGGTGTTTGTGGTGGTGTTTGAGGTGCAGCTGTGTGCTGCCTCTGCCTTCCCTGTTTGTCTTTGGTGGCCCTGATGCAGCCCTCACAGCACTTTCTGCACTTTCATCTGCTCTTTCTCCCTCTGGGTACTGCCGCGACAGGTTCCCACTGTGACAGGTTCCCAGTGTGTGGCGCTAGGTGGGGACTTCTGCAGGAGCCACTTTTTGTTGTCCCCACCCAGCCCCCCCTTCAGAAAGTCCCTGGTTAGACGTGGCCAAATGCATATTCCCATCCCCCCCTCCGCTGTGGGAACCTCACTCTGTGTCTCCCCAAGGTCTCGGTCCCCCTACAGCGAGCACTCCCTGTGCAGGGCCTCCGCTCTCTCTGCCAGTCCCGGGTGCCCAGAGGCACCCCCAGCGCACCGCGGCTGGGTTCCTGCGGGGAGGCAGGTTTTGCCTGAGAGCTGAGACGGAGGAGTTGGTGGAGAGGGTGGGGGCTCCCAAATGGGGAGGTGGGGAAAACAGGGTTTGAGGACTTCCTGGGGCTGGTGGGCCAGGTGACAGGGCTCAGAATGTCGGGCGCTCTGGGAAGAGGGGGTTGAGAAGGTCAGCGTCCAGCTTTTCCGCCCCTGGCAGCAGGTGGAAGGCAGGTCAGCGGGCAGTGGGGAGGGCAGCCCGGCACAGGGCGGGGCACCCTGAACCCAGCCTCCAGATCCCCTGGGACAGTCGCTCTGCGCTTCCACTGCCTCCCAGATTGGTGCTCGGTACAGAGTGGGGGACAGGAGGGAGGAGGGGCAGGGGACCAGGAAGAGGAAGGGAGGGAGGAGCGCCAGGTGGGAGGGGCCCGGGGGAGGGGGACGGCAGGGGAGCTGGGGTGCGGACTGTGGGGGACCAGCTGGCACACAGGAGAGAACTGGCTGGTGATTGGAAGCGGGTGGAGGGGTGGAAGGGTGAGTGGTTTGTCAGGGGTCGGTGGATGGACTGACCCTGTTGGGTGGTGGGAAGGGAGTGGGGGTGGGAGCAGGAGGGCGGGCTGGGGGGGAGGGGCTGTGTGGGGTGGGGATGATGAGTGGGTGTGGGTGGGTCGGAGTGGGCAGGCGGCCAGGCAGTGCCCTGCTCAGGAGTAACTCGAGACAACCCCTTGTGACCTCAGGAAGGCAACAGCCCCCAGGGCAGCAGCCAAGGCGTCAAGATCACCCCCGACCAGCAGAAGAGGAGCAGCTTCTTCCGCTGCGCGCTGGCGTGAGGAGCGCCTTACCTGGGCGCGCCGGCCCAGCTGACTGTGCCTGTCCCCAGCGAGCCTGGCTCGCGGGGGGCCCTCCCGCTCCAACACCTCGCCCGCCGCGGCCACCGGGCCCTCGGCCACCAGAACATAATTGAGAAATTATTTTAGTAACTGTCTGATCTTTTTCAACTTTGGAGATGGAAGAAGAATTCGCTATTTTCCTCTAACGCCCACCAGGACGGCCCACCTGCCCATCTACCAGAGAGAAAGATGGGGCCCCGGTGATCCGCAGCCGCCGCAGGCAGACCCCGTCTCGGGGCCTCTCATCCTGGTGTCACCGCAGCGCCCCACAGAAAGCCTGTCCCGCCGCCGGTGGTGCCAGGCACGTCCGCTCTGCACCGAGCAAGTGGCCGATGGCCAGGGCCGGGCGCATTCACACAGGTCTGCCGCCCACATCAGCCTCCTCTCAGTTTTGGACAAGTGACAAAAACCATTTCCCTCCCGTCTCTTTCACTGTTAAACCAAAGGGAAGCACAAATCCAAGACGCCCTGCGCGGAGCGCCAGGAGGGAGGACGGGGCGCTCCGACCGCAGCCAGGTCTTGGTCTGGGCCCACGGGCCTCTGAGCACCCCACTGGAGCAGGGGGGATGCTGTGCCCGCACAGGTGACCCCAGCATCAGGGCCTCGCGGCCGGGGATCCCCCCTCAGCGGTACCAAACGGCCCCCACCCTGTCCTCTCGCCATCTCCAAATCGGACATTCTTTCTAGCTGAGATTTTTTTATTTTTCCAGATTTGTAGTGCCATGAAGTGATCTCGTCTTTGATTTCCAGGGGCAGACCCAGGTGACGGGAAGCTCGTGCAGCGCCCTGGCCAGAGGTGGCCAGGGGCCGGCAGCACCGTCCACACAGAGGCCCTGGCACGGCCGGGGCACAGGCATTCCAGGGACAGGCTGGCCGCGCGGCAGCCTGGGTCGGCTTTTTACTGTCATTATTCAGTTCTGTTTTGATAGCTTTGTCCTCCCGGAGAGACTGCGATTTGGGACCACTTATCCAGGCGGAGGGCGCCCCACCCCCACCGTTTCTTTGACTCTCCTCCCGCCCCGCCCCCCGCCGCTGTCAATCCAAGTCATTGACGTCACCTTTCTCCTTTTTTGAATTAAAACGAACATACCAGCAATGTCTGCTCTCCCCTGGGGTCTCTAACCTGCTCTGTTTACATCATAAATGCACTTAAGGAAAACAGACCAATTAAAGCTCATTCTAAAGTTCCCGGGCTTCATGTTCACGTGCTGCCCAGAGGGGGGGGGCGGGGGCGTGGGCCCTCCCCGCACCTGGCCCTGCCCACTCCTGGGTCACGTTTCCATCCCTCTCCGTGTCTCGTGTATTTTTTTTATGTTTTCCCCTCCATCCTTGGGTCTCCCCTGCTTCCGTGCCCTGTCGCCTGCGTCTTCCCCACCCAGAGTTCCTGTGCGTGTATCTGGCACTGGGCTGGGACCCAGGCCCCGCTCACACCAAGCACCCTCTGCCACCGAGCTGCAGCCCCCCCTGGAATTCCAGTCCCGGGACTCTCTGGCTCCAACCTTTTTGACTGGTTTCCAGTTGCGTTCAAATAAGAGAAGTACCTGGGCGGGTAGAGCTGGCTGGGAGCGCGCCCTGGGCTGCATCCGCCACTGCAGAAAGCAATTTTTAAAAAGATTTTGGAGCTGGGTGTAACTTGATGTCCAGGGCCTGGAGTCTGCGCTCCTTGGGAGGCTGAGGGAGGAGGACTGGGGGCGCCCTGGAGTTCAAAACCAGAGGGGAAACAGCAAGACCCTGTCTCAAAAACACTGAAGGAAAAGGTAGTAAACAGCCCAGGTTGGGGGGCAGGGGGGCTCCCCTCAGTTACAGCTGAAGGACTTCCAGGGAGGTGACACCCTTGTCAATGACCTGGCCCTTACGCCCCACCTACAGTTCCACTGTGTGCACACCACAGCCTTCCCACCGGCCCCCAAGACTTGTCCTGATCCCTGGTGACATGGCCAGGCTGAGCACTGGCTTCAGACCCTCCCCACCCGAGCTCCCTGCTCCCAAGCCTCACCTTGGCTCTGCCCTGCTCGGCCTGTCCGCTCAACCACCATTTGCCTCCACATCCCCTGGAGGCCCCTCCCAGAGCCCATCCTCTAATCCAGATTCCATGGCCTTCTGCCCCTTTGAGGGTCCCCAGGGTCACTCCTGTGCTTGCTCACCAGTGCTCGACATCTGGTGTATGGCATTCGTGTATTTCATTACTGTAACGAAGCCCCCAAGGCAGCCTGCTTTACTAAAAAAAGAGGTTTCTGTAGCTCACCCTGTGAGAGGCTGAAAGTCCAAGGTCAGGCCGCCCATTGGTCCAGCCCCTGGCAGATGGTGTCGTGGCAGCGTCGTATGCTGAGAAAGATGTCACATGGCAAGACAGGAAGCCAGACAGCAGCTAGGGTCCTATAGTCCCTTTGGAGGGCAGGGCCCCGTTGACGGTCAGTTGACTCCCTCTAGGCCCCTCCTGTAACAGGGCCACACTGAGGACAAGTTTCCAAACACGAACTCTGGGGACAGATCACATCCGAACCATGGCCTGTGCTCAAGGCAAAGGCGGCTCACAGCCAAGGGCTAAAGAGCAACATCAGCAAATCAAGGATATGTGCAGGGAAAACCAGGCAGAAGCTTCCAGAATCCCCCACCGTGGAGTCACACGTGTGACACACAACGCGTGTGCCACATGCTCATCACAGAAGCTTGGTACACTCGGTGCCCAAGCTCCCATGGGGCTGATCACGTGGACACCCTCTGCCTCTTGTTTAAAAGCTTCCCGGGTCCCCGCTGGCATTCAGGGACACGATCCTCGCTCCTCTCATGACTGCAGTCTCCCCTGGTAGTCGCTGCCCCAGGGCTTTGGCACTTGCCTCACCCTAGGCTGGTGGTGCCCTGATATCGCACAACTCTTCTGGAGAAGAGTTGCTATTGTCCCTGCGTCCCCAGCACTGGCTGGACGGCCCTTCCTGCTGAGCCCTCTAGAGGCCGTGGGAAATCCGGTGGCCTGGGCTCAGATCCCAGCGCAGCCCAGACCTAGGCACAGCCTGGGCACAGCCTGGGCACAGCCCCGGGCACGTGCTCAGCCTCACCAGCTCAGCCTTGGCGCCCCCATCCCTGAAATGGGGGTGACCACGGTTCCCGCCTCAGGATGGCTGTGGACAGCCAGGGAGGTGGCAGGTCCCAGACAGGGACAGGCGCACAGGACATCAGACACTGAGCTGTGCCATCGCCGTCTTTGCCCCAGGCAGAACCGCTTCCCTTCCCACCTAACAAGGGAACCCGCGGCGGAGTAGCTGCTGTTGGCTGTCACTGGGCCTAACGGGGGCTGCGTCCACAAACCTGGTGTAAAGGGGAACGACCTGGAGGTTTGGGGTGGTTTCCCCCAGCCCTGGAGGGCAAAGCCGGGAAGGGCGTCCACCACTGAGCCACACTCCTGACCCTTTTTCTTTCTTTTTTGAGACAGGATCTCACTAAGTTGTCCAGGCTGGCCTCAAACTTGCCATCCTCCTGGCTCAGCCTCCCAAGTAGCTGGGATTACAGGCGTGCACTACCCAGCCTGGGAAAATATCCTAAATTGCAAATGCAGAGGATCGGCCACCCTACCCAACGCCCCGGCCCAGCCTCCCCCTCCTTGAGCGTGCTCAGGACCCTGCCTTAGCCTGCGGTGGGTGGCCAAGCGTCTAGCACAGAGCCTGGCCCACACTGCGGCTGGACCGCGCTAGCGCTTCATTAAATACTACGCTGAACGGGAAGAGCAGAGGGTCTTCGGCGTCACCCTTCACGTAATGGTAAACTGGAACCATTTGAGTCAGGGACCTTCTGTGTTTGCCCCCACAGCCTCAAATCCCCCCCCCCAGTGAGGTCACGGGATTCCTTGACTCCCTCAGTCCTCCCTTATACCTGACCACTCATGCAGCACGTCACTAGATTGACAATAGATCTCTTCC